GGTGATTTTCATGCACAACTCAGTAGTTATTCGCAGCAGATTTTTCGGGTTTTCGCAGAGGGCGCTTAGCACAGTAAGGTCGCTTAGTGCATGTGGATGGACACATAAAAATTATTTTATGCATGAATGGGATTAGGATCTTGTATGTTATGATTTATCCTAGATTTACATGTATTTTAATAATTTATTTGACTTGACTCGGATTGGTTTTGAAAGCATTTTGATGAGAAACTTAACACTTGAATTGTGTATGTAAGTGTTGGAATTTGATAATGTTTGAATGTAGCATGATTTGTATCTAATTTCTACATGGTATAATGATTTTTTGAGATGATTTATAGTATGATATTATGTATATGTGATTGATTGGCATGGAAGATGTATGGTGCAATGTTGTGAAGATAATTCAAAATATGTTGAATTATGTGATGAGTTGTTGAGATTCCACATGTACATGCATTATTTGTGTCAAGAGGCAAGGTTTGGTAATTCTGTAGGAACTATTGACTTGTCTCAACCTAATGTTGAATGGGGTTTGAAAGTGTAAGGTTGTATCAGGCTTTTATTGGTGGTTATCTGTCTTGGAGATGTGGACCCGGCAGGACCGATAAGGATAATATTGATAGCACATGGATAATGCATTTGAGTTGCATTAGAGTCACATGTATCGATGTGAATTGTTGCATTATCACTCATTGTGTAATATTAGTGTGAATATGGTGTTTTTATGTGCAATATGTGATAATTGATTTAATTGTATAATTGTGGTAATTGGAATTGAATTTCATTTTGGAATATGAATTGATGAGCTATGTTGTATATGTGGATTGGTATATTGGATTATGTTATGACTAATATGTGGTTTATGAAGAGTGATGAATTTATATCGGTGTATGTATGTTTTACATTGCTTATAATTATATATTTTCATAATAATATGAATTATCACCCTTATGTTGGAATGATGTTGTATACGACATCGCTTAGGTACCAGAGATAATGGTGCTTCTTGCCAGGAATAGAGGAGGAGCTAGATCCTTATTTATCTGCTTATTCCTAGGTAGTGAGTCATTGCTCTAGTCTATGTAACACGAGGGATATTTGAACTCATGTTTTGATTTGTTTTGAGAGATATTTATTATTACTCTCTTTTATTTGGATATGTATGAGATTATATGATGTTTGGCCTCAGTGCCTAGTACTTATGATATGATTGTCAGTATGGGATTTCAATCATTTATATCTTTATGTTGAGATGATTATTTTGTTGTGAGATGCATATTTTGTATTGGTGTATGAAACTTGAACTTGAATACATGTTATGGTCATTACCAGTATACATGTTTGAATTTTCTTTGTCATTTTGTGAAGTCAATTGTAACGCCCTCTTTGAGATGTATGCTAATTTACTCTGATTATGCTATTTATGCTATATGGGGTTAGAGCGTGTTACAATAGTGGGGTGAAGTTGCAAGGGAGCGAGACGAAGATAGTTAAAAACAGCCACCTGTAAGTCGACGAAAGGAAGCCGGAAATCCATATCTCTAAAATGGATCTCGTACATAGGAATGTGATTTACATCTTACTTCGAGATCGATGCAATGGCGTTTCTCGGGGATGTAGACAACCCATTCCTCCTCGGAACCCTCTTGCTTCATCCCCGGAGCCACAATCACGAACACTTCATCCTGAGGATCGATAAAGTAGCAGGCAATCTCCCGAGGACCCGATGCAATCCACTCCTCAAGAGCCGCGGGCACCCCAGACACACATTGCTCAACTGCATTTTGCCTCGGCACGCTCGATTTAGAATTATGATGCCCCGACATACTCTCCTCGGTTGAAGTATGCTCAGACAGATCTAGGTCAGAGTCACCCAACTCGTTCAGGGCTTCATCTTCAGCGCTGCTAACCATCTTACCTAAAAAATAGTGGACAAAAGTGAATTTGACATAGAATCAAATCCACATCCACCACTAGTCAAGTTAAATGACGCGCAAAGGAACAAAGACCCTGCCCCGACCAGAGCCCTTACTCAAAACAACAAGAAAACGAACATAGAGATAATCCCCTCTAACGTGTCGAGCGCCTTCCCGCCAGGTTAAACCCTAATCCGCGCGAGGAACGATATCCCTGATTGCTGGGTTTAATATCGCATGCAGAAATTCATCAGAAGCGTATGAAGATGAAGACATGAGCCCAAAAATGGCCCCAACTTTGCCGAAAAATTCACCACGAATCGCCATCACCAGCCCTAAGTCCAGACATCTCTGAATAGGTACACGGCGGAGCCAACATCCTCAGACAGCACAACCACCGTCAAACAGTAACAAACCGCCAGAAATTTCCGCATAAAGTTATTCTAATCCTAAACACATGCATTTCTAAGGACAAAATCATAGAATCTAACCTAAATCTGGGATGAAAATCACAGAAATGGGGAAAAGCCAAAGAAACTTACATGGTCGAGGAGGACTGACACGAAACAAGCAGAAATCACGGTAGTGTACGGTGGCGCTTCACAAGACCGAAAGGAATGAGTAGAAAAGAGATGGCGAAAAGTACAAATAAGGCTCACTCTCTCCTATTTATAGGCAGTTCTGCCTATATGTGGGAAAGCATGCGCCTAGGGGAACCTAGAATCATCATTATTAATCCCTTGCCCTTAGACTTGCCATTATTGCGCCTTTATGACAACATGTGGCTCAATGCAAGCACAACATGCTAACCCTTCAAGATCTAATCAACTATTCTTCTTCCTGTGAAACGGGCACACCAAGCATCACCTAGACTCCTCGCATGAAATTGTCCATGAAATGTCCCCCTTTGTGGGCATGTCTTAAGTCGTCACTCTTCTGCTCGAAAGCAATGACTTAGGGGCTCCTGTTTCTGGACCGACCCAATGACTAGAATTGGGTCAATCCGCTTATACCTCAGCATAATGGCCCAAACAGTTTTGACCCACTAACTCTGATCCTCGGTAGAGCACACTTGGTCGACCACACCATGAGAATGTCGAGGATAACAATGCCATGACCATGCGTCTGCCATCAACATCCAATTCCAAGTCTGCTCGCTACTCGTCGAGCAGACAATTAGGAAGGCGATCATAATCCGTCTGTCTGTCATCTCACCCTTGCTCGAAGCAATGGTTAGTTATGGGCACGACCGCCCATTTTGATCAGGTCCCGGCAGTTACCTATTTTTGAGGAACCTAATATCTTGGACTAAAAATAAGAACCAAAGGCTACGCGTCAAGGGTATTATATAAACCCACACACTTGTGAGGACCATGTATCCAATATTCACTCTAAAAATCCTAATCTCTTTTTTATATCTCTTTGTGCTCCTACTGACTTTAACATCAGAGTGCCTTACAGGTACACCCCTTCCTCTCCTCAAATTTCCAGCCTAACAGACGTCATCTTTTGGCCTACTTTCAGATTCTGATCAACCGGTAAGATCAGTATATTACCTTAAATTTCAGCTTCTTTTACTCCTTTTGATGTGAAAAATAGAGAAATATTATTTTGAAGTAGAAAAGTAGATTGAGTGCGGAAGGAGGTATTGGTAGGGTTTGAAGAAGAAATTATGAAATGATCATGAGTGAAGCTGCAAGGTGATATTTTATTAAATTTTCCGTGTGACAAATTTGGAAATCCACTTCCAAAATATTGTCATTGAGTTGTTAAATTAACAAAATCATTATAGGAATAAATTCAGAGATAAATTTCCGAACTAATTTTTAAAAAAATATGGATATGTCTCACTTAAAACGTGTTTTGATGTGAAATAAATACGTCTAAAAATACACTTTAAAAATTAAAAGGAATATTTTAAAATTTCCAAAGAGTAGTTCTTTATCACTAGAGATGGGAAGATCAACCCCTTATAATATCACACATGATCACCATAAAAAATCTAATACCAATACACATTGCAAACAATTGTTCCCATAAAAATTGAACCCAAATCACTTACATAATAACTCAACACAACTAAACTATTGGGTTGGAAAAAATTAACAAAGTCATATGCTCTGAAAAAATTAATTTTGTCCTTGCCTCATTTTTCAACACGTCGTTGATTTAGGGTAGTTCATATATTTTTTCTGCTTTTTCCAACTATTTCTATTATCCGGTTACAATCAAAATATATACTGATTCATACAGACCGGTTGCATTTTATAATAATACTACTACCTCAAGTCTTATTTATATGAAAAAGTTAACTTTTTAAATTTATAAAATATATAATATATCAGACTTAGTATATTATTTAGATATATTGATTATTTAATATATTTAAAAAACAAACTTTTTCTTATAAATAGAACCACAGAGAATATAATTCAATAAATTATGTTATTTCTCACTAGTTAAAACACTCACTACTTGTCATACCTTTCATTTTTCCAAACACTCAATATTAAAAAGTAAAATGTCTAATAAAGCTTGTCTCAATACAATTAATTATTTTTGAGTTAAATATACAAATATCCCTGTAATGTTAGCGAATTTGTTTTTAGCCCCTGACAAATTTCTTTTTGTAAAACCCCTTGTAATATTCAGATTCTTTCGTTATAACTCTTGATTCCAATTTTCAATGACTTACAATCCAATTGGAATTTTATTATATTTTTGATTAAATTTTTTATTGCCACATGGAATTCTTAATTTTTTTTCTATACTATTATTTTTTTACTTTTATATCAATTTTTTCATACTTTATTGTATTAATTCTTTTTTACGTCATCTTTAGAAATTATTTTTTTAAATCATCAAAATATTAATTTTGGGCCTAAGTTTAAATTGTTTAATGTTCAGCCCACATAGTCTCTCACTTTGTTCAATTTGAAAAGTTTAAAAAGTTATAACAAAATATAACAAACAGACCATTGTTGGAAGTCAAATTTTTTTCAACGGAAAAAGAATAGCAAATATTGCTAAAGGATGATTGTTCTTGAGAAATTTTGTTTCAATTTTCTGTATAGCACAAAATTAACTGCACATGCGGATAAGATCCTTTCCAGGTCTACAGCTGACATCAGAGAACATAAATCTGTAACAAAAATTGAAGAAAATACTTCACATCTTTCGTCATAAACTAAACATAGACACTCCTTGCGTTGCGAATGCTTCACTTTCCTAATACCTTCGATACCTAGCTAATTCTGCCCTAATATCTGTTATCACATCTTCCGCCTCATGGAGTTGTGCTTCAAGCTCAGCAACCTTTTCATTATGTTCTGCCGAGATCCCTGCTTCAGTTTTCTATCACCAAAATAAACATAGGTTAGTGCAATTTCAAAATTTAAAGCAACGTGAACCACATATCAAAATACTCACTGGTGGACAATATTGAGACAATGCTGACTGGATGGCAGTCTGAACCTGAATGTTGATTTCCTGCATATCTTTTTGACGATCCACTAATCGAACCTCACTCTCCTCTCGTTTCTGCCGCTCTTCTGCCAGTTGGGACTCAACCTCAACAAGTTTGGCTCTTATTTCTTTGCATTCTTTCTTAGCGTTCGCTGTCTCCATCCTTTGGGCGTCTAACTCACCCTGCAACCTTTTAACTCTATCAGAGCTTGATGACCTCAGTCCTTCTTCAAAACCTTGCATATATGATTTCTTCCCAACCACCGCCTTAAAGACAGTTTTAATAATCTCAGGTTCAACTATTTCCACCCCATCCTGAGAATTCTCTAGCAGCATCTCACCTACTTGTTCAGTAACTTTGTCCTATAACGAATCGAAACAATACAACAGTCAACAATTTAAATAAGTGAACATCAAATTCAAGTTATATATAAAACTACAGCAGTAATTTAAAATATGACTACATTTATTTCCTTAGATGCCTCATCAATCCACTCCCCATTAGCCCTTTTGTGTGTTATCTGCCATAATGTCTGCAAATCAGGCTCTGTTCCAGTCGCCGGATCCCGCTGTTAGATGCATATACACATATACTTGTTAAACAGTTAATAGAAAGAAAGAAAAAAAAGTGATGCAATTTTAGAAGACACGACACCAAGTCAAATTGACATCTTACTGCATCAAAGCTAACTGCTTGAAAGGACTTTCGCCCACTAGTATGAAGAGTCCGCTGTTTTGCCCTACATGCCTTGTTTTTCATGCTAATCATCTGAATATCGACAAAAAGTGTGTTATGGAATTTATTAAAGTTAACAAGGTAGAATATAAACAGCAAAAATATGTACCTCAAAAGAAGGGCTGCTAAAATAATCAACCAAGAATTTCCAATCAGGCCCATTGACATCCTCAGGGACATGCTTCAGGGCCTCTTCTTTTGTTTCAAACATTAAATAATAATCATGAAGCCTGTTGCGCCAATTCCGATATAATCGGCCTGCTTCATCAATAATCGCCTTCCGCACCATATCTGTATCTGGAAGTCTCCAATGGTTCTGTGAAAAGAAAACTTATTTAAACTAAAGGATTCCTTATCCACAATCCTCATCCTCAATCCTCACTATAACACATTTAGAGCTTCTGCATCACAAGGCCATAGCTCTACTAAATGAGGGATCTTAACAGGTTACTATGCTGTATGTTGGGTATTAATGTTATATAACCAAACCAGAGGGTAGCATATTGATAATCTAATATTTAATTCGTAAATCTCTATCCCTATTTCTGCATAATTAAAATGTAAAGCGGTCTGCCGTGATTAGAATAAAAATGTAAGGGGTGTTTGGTTTGAGAGAACATCTTTTTGTCTTCACTTTTAAGTGCAAAAAACATCATGTTTTCACTTTGTTATATGTTTTCCAAATTTGTAAGACAACACTGGAAAAGTAACAAGTAGCATCACCAAAAGTCAATTACGATAACCACAAATAAAACCAACCAGAATTAGCGTGATTGCTAATAACGTACCAGAATTTTTTCCACTATTGTATCTCTAGTACTTTGTGGAACCTGCCTCCACTTGTTCACATTAAAACGGGCGTTCTTGCGAAGAATAATAGAAAGATCAGTAATGAAATCCTTACGGCCTGGACCTATAGCCACCAGCCTCTCAGGATGAATGATAACATCCAACTTTCCATCTGGACTCAATTTACGCTTCATTTCAAGCATAACTCCTCTTACAATTTTCTTAGGCCTGACTCTTGCATCTGAATCAAAAAACGATACGAAAAACAAGATAAGTTTCAAATAGAACCTCAAGAAGCCAGAAACTATAGAATCATTGCAATGAAAACATTCAACTTTCCACCTGCATTCTGTGGATGGTTCATCTGATTCATTGACCCTTTTGGTCGCCCTCGTCCTCGTCCTCTTTGCATAGGAGTATTAAATACTTTAAAAACACACAAATCATTGATAATAGGCCATCTGTTATTCTTAACTATAATTTCTAGCAATGAAATAAAGGACAGCGAGCAAAATTAGAGATCAATCAACTATTAGTTAGTTACTCAAATCGATTACTAAGTATGTCGTGCCACCTATTATCTATTATCTATAATATTATATATTACTCCCTCTGTTTCAAATGTGTGTCATTTTAGCAAATAAAATGTTTCAAAATGAATGTCGTTCTCACTTTTCAATATAGAAATGATTATTATTTTTCCAATTGTGCCCTTTAATTATTACTGGGTGGGTACCTACTTTCAACACATTAATAAGATTAGTTTAGTATAAGCGTAATATCTTTTGACCTAGAGGAAAGAGGGTATGTTACTTGAATGGTTTCTAGAGGAGATGATATATAAGTAATAAACAATATAATAAGATATAGGTTACTAATAGCGTACCAGCCTCTGGGCCTTCTTCACATACAGGACTGACTTCCTTCACATTTGATGGATTATCATAAACTACAGTGCCATTGGAATTTCTATGACAGTTCTGCACCCTTGACTCGCGTGGTTGTTCTTGTCCCTTTTCGTTAGGCATATCTGTATATGAACACAACAATATTGAATATCAGAAAACAATTAGCACAAATTAGCCCTCTTCCATCCACCAGCACCATGGAAGTCGAGGAAAAAAACGACGATAATATGTTAAGCCAGGGATGTTGAATTTGAGAGGAAAAAAACGATGATAACACGATAAGCCAGTGATGTTAAACTTGAGAGGAAAAAAATGCCGATAACACGTTACACCAAGGTTGTTAAATTTGAGAGTTCAAGTCAACTCATTTTGACTAGGCAGAATCAACTCGTAACATAGTAAGGAGTCATAAGCATAAACTTGTATCAAAGTACATAAACTCCACCAAATCATAAAAATATAAGATCCTAAAATTGTTAAAAGTTAAAACATATCAAAAAACAAAACCTTGAATATCCCACTTAATAATAACGCAAAAAATACCAAATTAACATAGTAAGGTGTCATAAGCATAAACTTGTATCGAAGTACATAAACTATCCCGCCAAATCATAAAAATATAAGATCCTGAAATTGTTAAAAGTTAAAACATATAATTGAATATCCCACTTAGTGTGAGTCTCCCACTGAGTATGGTGGGACCAAACACTCATACTTCAATTTGAATAATCTCCCACTTGTGAGTCCACAAAACACTATATTCCCAATGTCATTAGAGCACAACAAACCAGAACAGAACAAAACTTTGTCAAACAGATCCACTTCTAAACCAACAAGGGAAATCAGCCATGGATGACCCATAAATACAACTATGGCATGAATGAAACAGAGCCAGAAGAAAAAAGGTTCCAAAAACTTGGCAAACAGTCTGTCTAAGAGCACAAGCCCAGAAAAATACTGCAGCGAAAAGGATCAAATTATGGCAAAACAGACCAAACTCCAACAAGCACAGTGGCACTAGCAGCAAAGACCTGGCACAGCTTGTCGGCGGCACCCGTAAACCACAAAATCAACTACGAAAAAAGAAATAAAATCCAAGTGCAACTTTCATTGGACCGGAAAGTTTTGGTCCAAGTGGATCACCTCAGGGTGATTCTAAATGTGATGATTTCTCTTGAAATCTTTAATAAAAATACATGTGCAACTACTGTTGGACCGGAAAGTTTGGGTCTAAGTGGATCACACCTCATGGTGGTTCTGAATGTGGTAATTTCACTGGAAATCTCAATTTTTTTCTTCCAACAGATAACAGTTGGGGTGACACTGGAAGCAGCTGGTGTGATGAGCGCAGTGGTCAATAATGTAGGATGACAACCAAATATGGTAATGGTCAAGCAGGAGAAGATGGACTTGTCTGAGGGGAGATTCTGAATTTTGTAAAGTTTCATACTTTAATGAACTAGGCAGCAAACTCATGACAGGACAGGTCATGGAATGGTAACACTCTTATACCATCTTAGAATTTGGTTTGAGCCTAACTCAACTCCACAAAACTGACTTTTAAGGTGAGAGTTGGCCCTCACTTGTAACCACTGTTCAGTTTATATCACTATCTAATGATGGGCTTTAAACAACAAGAAATCCTTGCCATTGTGTAATGCTTCACAAGAAGAGTATAGTATAATATCTGTTCCAACAAATTAAGTTTCCCGGAGACATATATGCTTTTCCTAATAGAAAAATTAGTATACTGATTTTACTTAGAAAACGAATATTATTATTAAATGAGTAGAGGGATAAAATAAAAAAGAAAACAAGTGAAATTAAAATCTAGATGTTACATGAAATGAAACCATACCTTCACTTTCTGACTCTATACAGTCATGAACTTGCACCATATTTGAAGAAATGATGGGACTGCTTATGTTCCTAGGAACACCCTGTCGATAATTTTGACCCCTTGACCGTTTTGGCCGTCCCGGTCCCCTTTTCTTAGGCAGGTCTATATGTGAAATGCAAAACTTATACATGTAACATTTAGAAATGTTTCCCATGAAAAATGTCGGTAAGAAATTCGAGTTAATAAGAGAATAAGATAGAGTGAATCCATGTGTACCTCTCTCCCACTCCTCTACCAACCCGTGAGCAACTTCAGATTCATTTGTTGGATTATCAAGAACATAAATTTGGAGATCTGCAAAAAACCAGCTAGTAAGAAAGCCTTGTCACTTCATCAATGCAGGGCTCTGAACAATAAGAAAACCTTGTGACAGTGTAGTGTTTCTTGATATGAATAATTATCATATTTGTCTTAAGAAATTAAGTTTTATGGTAACATATGATTTTCCCAATAGCAAACTAATAACTGATTTTGCTGATAAAATAAAAATTATTCTTGAATAGAAAAAAGAGGGGATTAAGTAAACATGAAAACAAGTGTAATTAAAATCCAACTGTTACATACAACAGTACCTGGATTTTCTGATTCTTTGCACCCATGAACAGTTTCCACCGTATTTGAAGGATTGATAGGACTACTACTTACATTTATATGAACACTTTTTTGATAATTCAGATCAATTGTCCGTTTTGGTTGTCCTCGTCCCCTATTCTTAGGCATTTCTGTATGTGAAACACAAAAATAGACATTCAACAGCAGTTAGCATATGCTTCTCACGAGTCATGACAACAACAACAAAAAATGTACACAGGGAGGAGATAACAGAAGAATATGATAAATGAATCCATGTGTACTAGTCGCCTGCTCCTCGAAAACTCTGGATCAACTGAAACAGGAGAATATGATAAAGAGAAACCATGTGTACCTGTCTTCTGCTCCCCTGAAAACTCTTGATCAACTTCAGATTCATTTGATGGATTATTAAGAACAACTGTTTTGACATTTGCACTCTGTTTAACCTTCTTCTGAAGACTAGACCCTTTAGGCCGACCTCTTCCCTTTCCCTTTGTCATGGTACCTGAAAATGAATTTCGGAAAACAAATAAGCACCAAGAACAGTGTATGCTTCTTGTGAAAACCAAAATAAAAAAGACAAAGTTATAGGAATTAACAGGAGAATATAATAAAGGGAATCCATGTTTACTTGTCTCCTGCTCCTCTACAAACCATAATCAACTGGATCAGGAAAATATGATAAGGTGAGTCCATGTGTACCTGTTTCCTGCTCCTCTACAAACTCAGGATAAACTTCCAATTCATTTGATGGTCTGTCAAGAACAATCGATTCGACATTTGCACCTTGTCTAACCTTCGTTTGAAGACTCGACCCTTTAGGCCGACCTCTTCCATTTCTCTTTAACATGGTACCTGAAAATGAATTTCGGAAAACAAAGAATCAGAACTAAGAACAGCATATCATATCTATGCCTTCGTAGAGGAACAAATAGGCCCATTAGAAGTGCTATTAGAGCCCATAATTATTTCAATTCAACATCCAGAAACAATTAGCTTGCCAAAAATCTAGATTATGTTCAATTCTCCATAGATCAAATAAGTATACAAAACATAATGCTCGTATAACCCACCCAAATGGTCTAGTTTGCAACAAAGTCTAATTACACAACTACTAAATCATACTCAGTCATCCAAGTTGCCAAGAGAATAGAATCTTAAATTAGTACAATTATACATTATTACATTACATAGATGATAAATACCAAAAGTACCCAACACTGATATATAATTATGATAAGAAAAAACAAATAGATTAAACCACGAGTTATAAAATATCAGCAAAGCAGCAAATGGTGTACAAATGAAACATGAAGTTATGCAGCATTTGAAGAGATAATAACAATGGATTATGGATACTACGGCAACATAAGGGTTGCGTTGAAAAACATCGACGCTACCATTTTATGACCCCAAAAACTTAAGAATGTTCTTTACCATTCATCGGGAACTCTCAAGAACATCATAATAAAAATAAAAAAGGTGCTTTATTGGAAATAATAAACATTAAAAGCAGCATACAACAGCAGAAAGTTGTAGCATATGCTTCCCGTGACAAAAAAATGTGTCAGTAAGGAATAAGAGTAAAATAAAGGGAATCCATGTGTACCTGTCTCTTGCTCCTCTACAAACCCAGGATCAACTGGAACAGGAGAATGTGATAAAGTGAATCCATGTGTACCTGTCTCCTGCTCCTCTACAAACCCAGGATCAACTTCCAATTCATTTGATGCATTATCAAAAACAGTTGTTTCGGCATTTGCATTCAATTTAACCTTCTTCTGAACACTTGACCTTTTAGGCCGACCTCTTCCCTTTCTCATAAACATGGTACCTGAAAATAAATTTCGGAAAACAAAGAATTAGAACTAAGAACGTCATATCATAGATATGCCTTCGTAAAGGAACAAATATACCCATTTGAAGTGCGATTAGGGCCCTAAAAATTATTTCAATTCAACATCGAGAAACAATTAGTTTACCATTATCTGGACTGTTCTCGCTTCTCAATACTTCATAGTTTACATAGGTATAATAAGACATAATGCTTCTATAACCCACCCAAAAAGTCTAGTTTGCAACAAAGTCAAACCACACAGGTACCAAATCATACTCAGCCATCCAAGGTGCTAAAAGATGAGAATCTTAAATTGGTACAACAATACATTATTACATTACATAGATGATAGATACAAAAGTACCCAGCACTGATATATAATGATGATAAAAATACAAGATAGATTAAACCATGGCGTTATAAAGTATCAGCAAACCTGCAAAAGACTGACAGGACAATTGAAACATAAAGTTATGATGCATTTGAAGAGATAACAACAGTGGATTATGGATGCTGCTGCAACATAAGGGTTGTGTTCATGAACATCAATGCTACCATTTTTATAACCCAAAAATATAAGAATGTTCATTAGCATTCATCAAGAACTCTCAAAAGCATCTACATTAAAAAAGGTGCTTTATTAGAAATAATAAACATTAAAATCAGTATACGGCAGCAGAAAACTGATAGCATATGCTTCTCATGACAAAAAAAAAGTGTCAGTAAGAAATAAAAGTTAACAGGAGAATAAAATAAAGGGAATCCATGTATACCTGTCTCTTGCTCCTCTACAAACCCAGGATCAACTGGAACGGGAGAATATGATAAAGTGAATCCATGTGTGCCTTTCTCCTGCTCCTCTACAAATTCAGGATCAACTTCCAATTGATTGGATGCATTATCAAGAACAGTTGTTTCGACATTTGCATTCGATTTAACCTTCTTCTGAAGACTTGACCCTTTAGGCAGGCCTCTTCCCTTTCTCTTTGGCATGGTACCTGAAAATAAATTTTGGAATCAGAACTAGGAACAGCATATCATACACATGCCTTCGTAGAGGAACAGATAGGCCCATTGGAAGTGCTTCCGGTTCTCAATACATCATAGTTTAAATAAGTATACTAAGATACAATTTTCCTATCGGTCTACTACAACATAAGGGTTGCGATCAAGAACATAACACTTCCATTTTATAACACCAATTGGGTATATCAATAAATTCTCTGCAAAACTACTGGAGAGCTTCCACGTAGGCTTTCATGACGAACTTCTTTGATCATACATATGTCTATACAAGATTGAGTCTTTCAGCTTTTTTCGTGTGATAACGAAATTTGTAACAGCAGAGGGTATTTCTTAGTGGAACTATGGAAACTACAATCAAGAATTATGCTATAATCGTGATTATCCATGCCCTAATTAATATAATGTTCCGTGATTAATAAACCTAGATTGAGAGAAATAAAATGGTGATGATAGATAGAAGAAGCTGGAGATGAAGTGCAAATGAGACTAACCGATCGGAGACAGTGGTGGCAGTCGGTACGGTGATCGGTAAATGCGGTGGTTTTGAGGAATCACAGTCAGTGTTAGCGCGAAAGGGGTTTTTAATGCTGAAAATTACAAGTTCAGGGTGGAAGGGTAACCTTATGTGAACATTTTAACCTTAACTAGTTAAATACGTAAATGCTGAATAAATTTATTTTAAAAAAATTTAAATATTTTTTATTCATTAAAATTAAGACAACAATATTTTTCTAAAAAACTAACTGATATTCACCTTTTTAAAGATGAATAAATAGAGTGTCGCAAATTCAAACTTAAACCTCATGCACTTAAGGACGAACAAATTATTACTATCACAAATTAATTGCAAAGCATATGTTCTGCATTTGGTCGGATTTGAATAGTTATCGAATCAGACCGAGTGATTGTTTTGGTTACAGTAGAATTGGGTTGATTCAGATTTTATTATTTTATGTCCATTAAAATTGAACTTGATCAAACTTAATTATTAATTATTATATATTTATATTACTAATAAGTTTTGGACTGCTCATTAAATCAAAACCAAAAAATCTTATTTCACTTTCAACTCTCCTTTCACGAAAACTCTAATACACTTATCTTTCACTTTCTCTTTTTTCTCCTCATTGTTGTTGTTGTTTTCTTAATCGTCACTTTTTATTATGAGTGTTCAAAAATATAATTAGTTAAATATATTTGAATTGTATATTAAATTGAACTATTTAGTATGATTAATGAATTGAACTATTTAAGTTAAACTATTCAAATTTAATTTAAAACTGATTCAAAATCAATTTTCTTTTATAAATCAATTTGATTATATAAGTTAGTTTTTCATTAAAAAAAAATATTTTTTCTAAAAAATAAAAAAAAAACGAAACTTTTTTTTTTAAATAAACAAATTTTGAAGATAAATATTTTTTTCTAAAAAAAAAAATTAATTTTTTTACAATTTTTTTTCAAGAATTTAAAAATAAAAATTAAAGTAATTTTTTTCCGAAAATAAATTATATATTTTAAAAATCACTTTACAAAAACATGAGGAGAGAACTTGAAGTGCAACCTGCATGTTATAATTAACAAAAAAAATTGACGTGATAAAAAAAATATTAATAGCTGTAGTAAAAATCATTTCTAGTTTCATTATTCCACTAGATTTCGCAAGGAACATTTGTGACAATGGATTTTGTTACAATAGAAGCCATATAAAAGAGAGAAAGAGAGGTAGAGAGGGAAAAAGATTATTAAAAAAACAATTTTGAAACAATTTATAAAATAAATCTGGTTTTTAAGCGTAAAGTGGTCCGAAACAATTTATAAAATAAATCTGGTTTTTAATTAGAAATTAACGGATTCAAAACTAGTTTGAAACTGAATTGAAACTACTTTAACAGTTAATTGATTTTTTATTTAAGTAGTTTTTAAAAATTGAATTGAACTATTAATTTAGTTGTGTAATTCTTAAACCATGAACACTCATACTTTTTACCACTTTGTTTTAAGTTCATCTTCTTCTCTCATCATTGTCTCACCATCCATTCATCTTCCCTTGTGTCTCACTTCATATAGCCTTCATGTCTTGCTTTATATTCATTGAGTAGATTTGATGGTTCAAGAGGTGATTCTACCACTTTAAAGACGGAGACATGAAATTCTACAAAAGTTTTTTTTTTTTGCTTTTTTTTTTTGTGATGGTGATTTAGGCTTTGAGTTTCTATATCTTTAAAAGTGATTTTGTCTTGGGTTTTTTTATTTGTTTTATCTATATTTTGAAAAAGTTGATATTGTATTTGAATTTTGTGAATAGCGAGATTAAGTCATTTAGGGATATGATTGTTAATCAGTAATGTATATATTTTTCTAAAAGTTTGATTTTGTGTGGTGAATGATAAGATTTTTGTGATGTTTGTGTTTTAAGCTCTATTTTTTGGATGTTTGCGTTAGTTTTAGTGATTGTAAATTGATATGGTTTTGTGTTTTAACTTTACCATTATAGTGGACAAAAAACCCTACTTCATTACAAATGTTTGTGCCAACCCTATCTTTTTGAATACTCAGATATGGTTAATCATTTATGTATTTATTCAATATTTGGAGTTTTTTGAATAATTTTATGAATTGGTTATTTGTTCTTTTAAAGGTTAATGTTTTATGTATTTTTGGGATACTGTTGGAAATGTTTTGTGATTTTATTTATATTTTAGTGGATTATATGACTTTTGGAGGCTCCTAATGGATTTATTGTGTTTGAGAAACAAGACTAAACGATTATAACAGAGCAAGACCTTTGAGTTAGTGTAATGTTTTTATTCAAAAAATTTGTATGCTTTTATGGTCAACACCTGGTCTCGTAAGTAAACTTATTCTTAAATGAAGATCTAATAATTCTGATTATGTCGATGTGATTTTCTATGGCTTAAATTTTATGAAGCTCTTGTCTCATGTAGGAGTTTTGTGAGTGAAACATGATTCAATGGTGGAACCTGATACCAAGGTTATGGACGTTCTTGATACTACTTCTGCTTCTGAATAAAAACAATGTTTTTGTTTTGTTTTAATTCATGTTTGTATTTGATTAGTTAATGTTTTTTAGATATTTGTTGAGGTTGACTTAACTTGACTTAAATATAGGTGATTGTGGTGGTGAAGATATAGTAGGGAGATGCAAGGGAGAAAATTTATGAGTCTGTTGGGAAATAAGAAGGGTTTGTTGAGGGGATTTGAAGCTTGATTCTTTGGTCATGGTGACTCTCTTGGGAAACAAGAAGAGTGTTAATATTGTTGCTATGTTGTCATGATGCATTTTGAATGATTTTCTTATGATAATATAGTTGATAATAAATAGTTTTCTCTTCTTTACTTTAAGTTATTACAATGTGTAACTTACTACTCTGCATCGTGTCAATTCATTACAGTAGTTAGTATTTTTAGTTAAAAACTGCATCATCTCTCTTTCTATTCTTTCATAGTGAGTTTATTTATCTGGCCAGGATTAATGTTGTTAAAGTGGTTCTTTTCTAGGATGAATCTTTAATTTTTGGTCTTGTTACTCTATTTTGTAAAGGTAAAAGTATTCCTACAACCCATTGCACATGTGAAAGACGCTTTCCAAATGGTTGATTTAATACCAACAAGGTAATCTTTATGAATACCAAATGTCGGTTATGCTAATGTGAAACATAGACCAGTCTGAAGGTTTGTGTAACGACACAAGGCTAATCATAACAAACATGGAAAACCATGTCCTTGAAGCTTCGATAATGTCGGGAAATGGTTCTAGAAATTTGGTTTACATCCTTCGGATGGATATGTCATTGTCGTAGTCACCATGGCCATTCAAGTTAAAAATAGACGACAATTCCCAATTATTGTCTCATATGCCATGACGATTAACAAATCGCAAAGACAACCTTTGGATAACGTAGGTCTCTACTTGCCAAGAGATGTATTTACCCATGGTCAAATTTATGTTGCACTATCAAGAGTCACAACAAAACAAGGAATTAAAATATTGATACATGATGAACATGGAAAGTTCAAAGTAACAACTACAAATGTTATTTACAAGGAAGTTTTTGGCAATATATGATTATTCAAAAATTAAGTACGCTCTTTTGTTAGTCTGCATTATGTTGTTCTTGCTTTAGAGTGTGTAGTACATGAGTTTGTAACCTCATTGTTTGGTATATTTTGGAATTACTGTTAGGCCTTTTCTGTCTAAAAAATATATGTTGTTCATTTTATGTTTCTAAACACACACCAGTTTTGGTTAATTATTATACCATTTAATTTTAGACTGTTTAGCATGACATTATGTTTGCTATACATTTCTTTATCAACGTGGCTAACCATCTGCATGCAAAAATATTACATTAAAACAAAAAATTTATAAACATTATGTTTCATAGGAACCAAATGCTTATCATATCAGTATTACTGATACTGGTATGATCCTTGCGACGATCGTCAATTCGTAGGATAACAAATAATTCACACTACTTTCTTTATGACTCATGGCCTTGTCATACTACTCAAAAACATTATGTTTAACTCATGTTTTTACTTTTAGTATTATAGCACCAACTATCTAAATATTTTAGCATAGTATGTATACCATATCAAAAACGGATTACTAAAATTTATATATATCATAACACCCAACATTTACTAAATACTTGACCTAAATCATACCGGATATTCAAACCTTGCAAATTTAAAAACATGAAGTCAACATAAACAAAATACACAAACAACTAATTGTTCTTTCACATTACATATCCAACACAATTTGTTTCAATGTCTCTTCTTTCCTGGCTCAACATAAACCAATATTTTATCGGTTGACGGATATTGAATGCAGAAATGCAGAATGTCTCCTTTCTTTAATTTTTACTGTTTAGAAAATTCATACCAACCAGTTGTGAGATACTTCTCGCCTTTATCATCATTCCTCACTTTCACTACACAATTTTATGAGATACCCTTGTCCGAATCATATAAGGCAATCAAGCTGACCAGTCCACTAAGGCACTTCTTAATCACTTCACGCGGTAGTTGCTGCAAAACATTTACTTAAATTAGATGACATTCAACCCTAAAAAAATTACATATATCGTTGCAACAATTAACTTCTATTACTTACCAACACATTCCTCCTCATAACCTTAGCATTAGATACAATCATGCTTCATGTTTCTTTGTTTTCTTCAACATATATTGGAGCAAATTTCCTTATTCAAGCACCAAACCAAATATATTCAAACTAATATTACTCTATTTTTTCCATATATCTTCTCCAATACATTTTAGCCTTCTAAAGATACTTGAAAACTTCATCATATACCACGTTATTTACGCATTTTCAATACAATTAAACTTTTCGAACAAAGCCACATCATAAAAAATAACTCAACAATATGATTGGATTCCATTATATCTGTATTCTCTATAATTCTGCAAGAAAAAACAGGCCACAGAGGACTAAGTACTCTTCACTTACTGAACTTCCAACCAGAAACCTACATAAATCATACTTGTATAACCTTATTATCGCATTGTATGTCAATAATATATACATAACATTTTGCAACATTATTATCGTGACAACAGTAATATATACAAAAATTAGTTATACAACAGGAAAAAACACCTACACTTAATAGCATCTAGGCCTTTTTAAATATATTAATTCCAAAAACAAAACTTACCCTGAGTTTGTTGTCCCTTTCACGCCTACTGAACTGTTATTAATCCCTTTCCCTTTAACATTACATTTGCTTCCTGTCAGTTGGCATTCATCGGAACCTTTTCCTTTTGATGGAGAATCAAGACGTATTCTAGATAGAGAACGATATTCTTTAAAACTAACGATATCCATCTTTATACCAGTTTGTTGGAGAAATTTACGTGAAGATTCAACATATTTGTTATACTTTTTTCTATCTTTTGGCGTTGAACCGACAACAAATTCTCCGACGCAGATCTGCAACAATATTCATCATGCATAGATATTACTCACAACCTATATAACTTATAACAAACACATTATGGATTCCATGAACAAAATTAACAATACTTGAACATCGATAGCTACAGACTTACCCACATGCATGTCATTTTCCCCCCACCATTCTTCATCTCAACCGGAAGCTGAACTGAGCTTTTCGTTCTACTACTACTCCGGGTCATGATAAGATGCAATTTGTACTTTTGAGTAGAAGCGCTTTTTCTGTATTTCTCACTGGAAACCCATTTTAACCCTATTACATAGAATGTTCCTTTTGTACTTCATTCCTTCTTTGTCATCGACCCAATGGCCCATTTGACTCTCCATCTCTTTTTTTTACAATAAATTATTCCCTAATATATACAAATGATACCTTTTTATATTATATGTTTATATTATATCTTTTTAAACTGAATAAAAATTACAGTTTTGTTATTATTTTATAAAATAACAAGATCAAAGGTCAGGATTTGATCAATGTTAAAACAAAATTAAACTCACTTATACATGTACTCTCATTCTCACCTGGTGTACACAAAACAAAGCCCTCTTCAAGCCTAACCCTCCCCATACAATGCTCCTTCTCCTCCTCAGATAAGTCGAACATGGCCGAGACTTCTCGAAAACCGCAACCAACTCAGACCAAAAACCATCAAGGTAAGTGCGAATGTTTTAATTGTCATTATCTTTGTGGTGTATGTCATTTGATTTGTTAAAATGTGTACTTGTCTGTATTTGGATGTGTGTTTAACAATTGTTATTTGTGGTCATGTATAATGTTATTGATGGTTAATGGGTTAGGGAACAATGTATAATGTGTTTTCTACTACATCAATAATAAAAACGCTTTTGTACGGTGAGTATTTAGGGTTTACTTCCTCCGGATGAACCTGAAAACATACACATAAAATATGCGAAACAGTTTATAATAATGATATAAGTAATATGCATTTCTTTATTTTTAGTTCCAAATAAAAAGGGGAATCGGGTAACTCGCACCCTTTGACAAAATTCATTGTTTCCGTTGATATATTGCAGGACAGATACCCTTGTTGCTGAGAAAAGTTTGGAACAAAACTGGACTCGGGTTGTAGCTGATCACATAACAGTGTGTTCCAATGCTCTTGTAAGTACAAAACTCATTTGTATCTATAACTTTAAATTGGGAACATTGGTAACAAAACTATACAAAATCAGTTACATGTTTTATTCTTCTGATAATATTTGTTCATTAACAGCAAATCCCCAGAAACATAATCAGAAATTGTTTTCAAGGAGGAATAAACCAATTCGGCTTTTAGATTGCGACAACGGGGTCCCGTACCATTGCCTTTTGAAGAAGAGAAAAGGGAGTGTGGAAAGGTACCTTTTGGGTAACTGGTATGACTATGCTAAGGAAGCCAAATTGAAGGTTGGTGATACAATGCACTTCGACATCTATTACCCACCTATGGACGAGATCTTTGTACCAGTAGAGCGTGGAAATGCAACTCAGAGTTGGAGGTCATGGTAGGATAATGTTAAGGTGTTTAGTTTAAATAGAAAGGACATGTGTTTATGTCAAAACTCATGGTATTTTTGTTCCTAGTGAGTGTCTTTACCAATATTACAATGATGTTAAGTTGCACCACCATGGTTATTAGGTGCACAACTTATTTTATATAAGATGAAAATTATGAATGTTTTAAATTACTGTCTTATTGGATAATTAAGTATGTTTGTTTCATATACTTTTGTTATTATCAATATGTGATAATTTCACTATATCGTTGTACAAGTGACAATTATAACTGTTGAACAATGGTATACTTCAATTGTAGTTATTTTTCCTTCGTTCATGACCTCTTATTAAATTAATGCAAGTGTTTATGACTGTTGAACGATGGTATACTTCAGTGGTGGATGTTTTTTCTTCGTACATGAACTCTTCTTAGCTCAATGCGAGTACCACACCGGTACCCGTGAGAATGCACGGGTATTATACTAGTTATTACTTATGCTCTTTTTTGTTGATTGTGCATTCATCTAAAATTATATATTATAGGGTTAAATACACTTTACCCCCTGCAACAGTAGCGAGTTTTAATTTACCCCCCTTTTAAAAAAAATCTTTTCGCCCCTCAACAAACATAGATTCCATAACCAAAAACCTTTTAGCCCAAGATTCCATTTGAAATGCAGACGTGGCAATATCTATTTGTTGTTTGGGCCTTCTATGCCACCATGGACTGGTCATATATGCATATGTTTCTTTCTCTTCATAAAAGCCATCATCTTCCTCATTTTTTCCTCTACAACTCAACCTTACACCCCCATGAGCTTGTTCTTATGGATGCTTCTGGAAATTCTCTCCTCACCATGTGTCGCCACATTTTAGAATTAAACAATCTACCCAGCCTTTCAGTTTAGAATTTTTGAAACAAGTTATTGAATTGTTCAAAACCAGTTCAATATTAGAAGAACAATTCGGTACATCTAGCAGAAGTTTGTGTCATATTATTTTCTATTTTCTAACTTCAGAAGTCTAAAGAGTCTTCATTTTCTTGTCGTTTGATGTTACAACAATGAAAAATAGGTATTTATCCCAATATCTTTACCTTGCTGAAATGCTTGAGATTTTTACCATTGATGGAAGGAACGTTGGAACTTTTTGAGGTGGATGCATCCCCATGGATCATTCTTCCTATTAAAAATGTTGGTTGTTTGGGTTTTCGAAGGGTCATTGTGTCACTAGCCAACATTACAACAACACTTGACATGGTTGGTCTATCTGCTGCATCTTCTTGAACACACAATAGACTAATGTTTATGCATCTCACTACTTCATTGTCTATACAGGATTTTCCTAGTATTTAATCCATAATTTCCAAACATTTTCCTTCACACCATTTTGTCCATGTCTGCACATTATTTTGGGAATATTGAGTCGCTTTCTTTTTTCATCATCTAACAACAAAAAGACAGTGAAGAGGTCTCACCAGCACATCAATATCTCTTATGTTTAGTATTAATAATATGCATTTGTTTCTATTTTTTGTTTTTTTACTAAAAATTCAATTGAGCTATCTGAAAGCATACCGAACAGGTGAAATTTGAGGCTTGCATTCAGCATAAACTCGTACACAAGTAGCTTTTCATTTTGTTCCAAGCAACATGCCAGAAGTATCACAAGGTTGCTTGCGATGTTGCAATTTAGCAATAAGCATTACTTCATTTTTTAACTCCTCTGAGCCTTGACCAGAAGTTCTTGAGAGTCATTTTATTGCTATTTGTCTTCCATCTGGCAGGATTCCCTATAAAAGTTTGAAACCAAACTAAAATCATATAGAAAGTGAAACAATATTAAAAATCTAAATTCAGTAATACCTTGTAAACACAGCCAAATCCACCTTCCCCTAATTTAGATGTTTCTGAAAAGTTATCAGTATAATGTTGAATTGTGATTAATGGAATTGTAGGCAGACATTCAGTGTTTCCTTGTATGCAGGTGTCAGCCAATCTACAAAATATGCATGTTTACTTTATATTTGCAGGGTTACCGATGTGGTTTAACCGATCTGTCATAGATATATGCAGGGTTGTTTAGATATAAATTATTAAATGTTCGACAAGCTAGTGCAGGGGATGAACCGGTCTTGATGTATTAAATGTATGGATTTATCAATTGTATGCATGGCCATGGTTCTGTGTTTAGCGGTGGCAGGTGCAAATTTGTGGTCCAGTTTAAGTCGAATTTAACATTGTTGCAGGTTTGGTTCTGAGTTTATGTTGAGATGGTGTTAATCTTTTATGCAATTTTTGTTAGATGGTTAAGGGGCAATCTGAATTGTTAAAAGGTTTATTGGTTTGCATGTTCCAGAAGCATCCATAAGAATAAGCTCATGGGGGTGGAAGGTTGAGTTGCAGAGGGAAAAATGAGGAAGATGGTGGCTTTTATGAAGATAAAGAAACATGTGCATATATGACCAGTCCATGGTGGCATAAGAGGCCCAGTCAGCAAACAGATATTGCCACGTCTCCATTTCAAATGGAATCTTGGGCTAAAATGTTTTTGGTTATGGAATCTATGTTTGTTAAGGAGCGAAAATAATTTTTTTTAAAAGGGGGGTAAATCAAAACTCGCTACAATTGCAAGGACATAAAGTGTATTTAACCATATATTATATCATTAAATTATT